TCCTGCCAGGCACAAGCACCATAGGTTTTGCTTCCGTCAGCAAAAATGAGGACCCAGATTGTTGGGGGCAATATGCTGACTCTCTGTAAACCGCTTAGAGAGGCCTGAAAGGCCTATGAAGCGGTATATAAGTCTACTGCTATTGCTATTGCTATTGCTACCACACAGTTCAGCCACAAATACTCCTTTCCATCCATTATGGATAACCTTTGCACCTGGAAGCCTTCCAAGGGAGGCTGGGCTACAGCTTACTGGCGCCTTCCAAATGGACGCTGGAGTGATCTACTTAATGTGATCCTTGTGAGGATCACAGATTACACCCCCCCCCCCTGTGCATAATAATTCCTACCAATTTGCCTTGTGGGTGAGGTGCCCAAAAGTTTCAGTCTGAAAGACTCCGATGCTGACTTCTTTCCTGTTACGCATCTGACTGGTTTATGTGGGAATCCAACTCTTCCTGGGCCTTTGAATCTAGGTTTAATAAAGCCATTTTTATTGTTGGTGATATCTAATCCATGCCTGCTCCTTTTAATATAAAGTGCCTTAATATAATGCTAGAACTTAAGGAGAAACGTCCTGACAGTGAGAACAATTAACCAGTGGAACGACTTGCCTCCAGAAGATGTGGGTGCTTCATTCACTATTGGAGGTTTTTAAGAGAAAAATGGACAGCCATTTGTCTGAAATGGTATAAGGTTCTCCTGCTTGAACTAGAAGACCTCCAAAGTCCCTCCCAACTCTCTTATTCTGTTAATTAATTAATCAATCAATCAGTGGGAGTTGTGAGTGCTCCATCACTGGAGACTTTTAAGAAAAAAAATGGACAGCCATTTGTCTTGAAATGGTATAAGGTTCTCCTGCTTGAACAGGGGGTTGGGCTAGAAGACCTCTTAAGGTCCCTTCCAACTCTGCTATTTTTATGTTGTATTCTGTAGTATCGATACATGCAGTGTGGTTGTTATTCGCTTGCCTCACCTTTGCTACTTTTCCTTCTCCCTAGTCTTCGGTGCTGAGTTCTGGATTCAGAGAACTGAGCTCTTCAAAGTTATCCAACTCTACTGGTTCTCAGATTTTGGAACCGCTGAAATCTCCAGGTTTGGGCCAGTTGGCCTCACAGGGTCCTCTCAGTACAGCCTCTCCAGTGTCCGCAACTCCAACCTCATCCTGGGATGTCAAATCTTCGACTACGCAGCCTTCGATCCTCAGCCATTTCGGTAAGTGTTCAGGCTTGCAAGAAGAAAGTCAGTAGAACATCCTTGCCTCCCCCCCCCCCCCCCCCAAAAAAAAAAAAATCCTTAC